ATGGAAATCAGGCACTGGTTGTCTAGAGCATGCGGACGTCCCTCAACAGTCAGCCATGGAAAGGTCTCTAAATCGCTCTCCATTAGAGGGCATTCAACTTTTGCACAGGCGCAAATCTGCAAAGGGAATTTTTTTTTTAAACGTCTACTGACTTTTACAGAATACGCACAATGAATATTAAATAAAGGGCTGGTGTTCCCTACGTCATTGCCCATTACTGCGCTTCAGATGCCATTATGTGGCATGACTTTTAAAAACTTTTTTTTTTTTTAAAGGTCATGCTGTTTATGCTGCATAATATATAATATGATTTCACTGTAAATTAGAAACATACTTTACAGCCTGCTGCTGTGCTTCATGGAGGTGAACAAAATTTGAAATCACCGGTCTCCTCCTCGTGGGGAAACACTGGGAAATATTTAATATCGCCATAATCAGGGGCTTTATGGACTAGTAATGAGCTATGGAGGCCTCCCTAGGACACCTTGCTGCATCTCCTGCCGGCTCTCTAGCTCTCTAGAATGTTTCCATTCTTGACACTGTTAAATTTGATTTCACTTCACTGTTATAAGAAGTTTTGGGTAAACTGTAACGTTAATTAGCCAACCCACAGTCGTAATCCTTTTTAGGGGACGTGCTCAGCTCTGACAGGTTTCTCTCCCAGCAAATAAGCAGAGCTTGCTTTCTGTATGTTGAAATGGCTGCAGGCCTGTTCTGTTTCTATACAAATAACTCTCTGGAAGGATTAAGTATTCTATAGCTTTCTAATAGAGCAACTTTCTAAAATGTTGTCCTCTTTCTTTGCATGTAAACTATGGCACAGAAACTGGATTTTGAGAGACGTGCAGCCTGCAGTCGAGAAAATACGCTTTCTGATGCCAGTGCGGTGGAGGCGCCACGTAAAGGAATTAAGCAAATAAACAGGGTTTTAGAGAGGTGTTGGGAGATGATGGAACAGTAACACAAGGAGGAAACTGAGAAGCAGATTTATTCCATCTAAGGGTAGAGAAGTTGTAAGTCTCGCATGAAATGGAATTCACATGCTTTTTGAGAAATATGGAAAATGATATAATTTCACATTCACAAGGTGTCTTACGAGGGTCTGGTATGTTCTGAGACTGGTGTTTGGATTGAAGGGGCAGGCCAGGCTGCAAATGGAGGATGGCATTATTAAGTAACCACTTGCTACCAAAGGGGTCTGCCACTGGGATGGCACAGGCAAAGGGACTGTGGGGGGCGCAGAAGCCGTGGGGCAGGATGGAGCGCTGTCTCTGAAGCCAGTTACGGCCAGTCATAATGAACTTTACTGCAAGGGCAGGCCTGAACTGAGGTACCGTGTCAATATATCCTTCTTGGAATATATTCCCGATCCCGGTATTAGGTATGCAATTTGCCAGAATACTTGTGCGTTATTACTGAGTTAGAAAAAAGCAATGTTAATGTTTGCAGGACTGATTTTTTATTATAAAGCCATTTTTTTGTGTTTAAATATACTATCAACATGGTCTGCAACATATTAAAAATACTTTGGAAACAGTAGAAAAAAGAAACATTTCACACATTAGAGAATTAAAGCAACTCTGTTTCTTCAACTTCTGTGCTGGAAGAGATGGAAAAAAAGTTATTTTTAACTCTTAACCAATGAAAAGCAACTTGGTCAAAATTTCAGAAGGATAAAATATTTTATAGCTAAAAACTCTGTGATGTTTTTGCAATGAAGTTCTTGGTTAACACATCTTAAGAGGTACTTAACAAGACAGATTACTGAGAATGCCCCTAGTTACTTGGTGCCGGTTTATTTCATGTAAATATTCTATTTTCCACTGGATGTAGCCAAAATACAAGACAAAATCTTTAAAGGTAAGCAATTAAGAGAAACCCTTACTACCGTGGACTACCACAGTGAGCACCACCTTGAGAGCATAAGAAAAGAACAGACACAAAGTTCTCATTTCTGCTGTACAGGAAATGCCATTTACGCAGTCCACCCAATGATCTTATACATCAGTGCCCTCAAAAGCCTGGCTTCGTAGGTGACCGTATTTTTCCCACTGTGCATCCTCTTCTCTTCAAGGGGTTGTTCAATGACAGCTGGGATGTTTCTCCCATACAGCTCACACTGCTTCAGAAACTGAATGCACTCTTGAATAACGCTGTCACGTAGCATGATCATATGCTTGGCCATGTTCTCCAGCAAGGACAGGAAACACCGTTTGGCGTAATACCATGTATCGGTGCTCAGTTTTTTGTTATATGGCTCCAGGCTTTTAATGACCCTTGAAATACCAAAGTCATAGTTTCCCTTCACGCAGTAGAGGGTACCAATAACTAGATTGACAATGCAAAGATGGTAGGTATTTTTCTCAGGGTCATCATAGGACAGCTTCTCTTCTCCCTTCTCAATCTTCCTCATCAGTTCCTCTGCGTCTTCATTTTGGCTTGTCAGGATGTAGGAAACGCAGAGGTTAGCTAACACAATGGCACTGACATGGAGAATGTTGTCACAGTGCTTTTTAACTATAGGCTCGTAGAAGCTAATGGCCTCTTTATGCTTACTTTCCTGCATGAAGAGCACGTGAGCCACGTTGAGTTTCCACACCTCGTGTTCGTTGCAGAACTCCACCGATTTGCGGAAAATCTTTTCTACCATGGTATAGTTCTTCATGTCCCAGTAGATCTTTGCCTGGGCCATCAAAACAGGTATATATTTCTCCAGAGTCTCATCATACTCATTAACTGCCTTTTTTACAGCTTCATCATCCCAGTTTTGCCTTGCTTCCTGTACTTGCTTTGTGAGTTTTCTCAGTTGCTCAGTCAGTGTCCCTGCTGAATCATCTAGTTTGTGGAAAGCCTCCTCAGGGGCAGTTTGACAAGTAATGATGGCATCCAAGAAGTTGTACAAGTAAGGCGTGAGCAGTTTGTAGGTCAGATGGGCATTCTCTGCCAGCACATCAGCTGCCAGGTCGTAGTACTGGTGCTTGCAATAGAGTAGCAGCAAGTTTCCAAAAGTTTCTGGCGGACAGGGGTTCTGCAGCAAAAGAAATTGCAGTTTCTCAAACCCTTCAGTGGGCTGGCTGTCCATGTTCATTAGTGCTTGGTTGTGCAGCGTGACTGGATCCAACTCCTCTTCAGCCCTCGGCGGCATGTCTGTGAGCGCCTCCTGGGCCGCCTTCAGGTTGTGCAGCTGGTACTCAATGGCCGCCTTGAGGTTGAAGGCCTCCACCAGGGCCGTGCGGTGCAGGAGCAGGGTGTTGCCTACGCTGCGGACATCGATGCCCTCAGTGTTCATGCCCACGCTGAGCTCTGGGTGCTGGTGGATGCCGCGCTCTATGATATCAGAGATGTGTTTGAGGGCAGGGATGTACTGCTTAGCGGCGTAGCAGCACAGCGCCATGTTGTAGGACAGCTCAGGGCAGTAACCCAACACTTGCATGGCACCCGCAAACTTGCTGCTGGCCTCTTCATGCCGCCCCTGCCGGTACAGCAGGCAGCCCAGGTTGATCTCGGCATCGGCCCGCTCCGAGGGGTCCTCAGCTGCTCCAGGGCCACTGTCCGCAGCGGCGGTGAGGGCCTCCTCCACGAGGCTCTTGGCAGCCGGGAGGTCACCCTGGGCATAGTAGATAGCCGCCCGCAGACGCAGGGTCCGGCCCTGGTAGGCGGGGAGGTCCAGCAGCGGGCCCATGGCCCGCAGGGCCTCGGCATAGAGCCCAGCCTTGTAGAGGGCCTGAGCCTGGTAGAGCCGGTAAGCCTCCAGCTCGGGGTGCAGCGCCGCCAGCTGCTCGTAGCACTCGGCCGCCGCCGCGAAGTCCTGCAGCTGGTAGTAGCAGTAGCCCAGCAGGGAGAGGCCGCCCCGGGAGCGGCAGCTCTTCTGCAGCTCGCGGCTCAGCAGCGACACCGCCTCCCCGCACCGCCCGCCGCCGATCAGCCCGTAGACGACGGCGGTGTACTGCCCGTCGGGCACCGGCGCGGCCTCCATCGCCGCTGCCACGGCAACGGGCCCGCGTAAGGGGAAGCCGGGCTCCTCGCTGCCGTGGCAACGCCCCAGCGGAAGTACTTCCTGCTTCCCTACGGCAGCGGGAGGCCGTTCCCCCGGAAGCGGAAGTGCGGGGTGCGACCGGCCGCGGGGCATGGCGGTGGTGCCCGGGGTGAGGCGGCGGTGGCGGAGCGGGCCCGGTGCAGCGCCGGTGCTGCCTCCCCTCCGCCCCCCCGGCCTCTCCCCGCTCCGCCACAGGCGGGAGTGCTGGAGGGAGGGGTCGGGCGGCGGGTCTCGGTGTGTCCTGCCGCCGCAGTGCCCGAGGCCGCACCCTGGGTGTTTGCCGGCTGTTTTCTGTTCCCCGCCGTGCTGTTGTCTTCCGGGTCGCGACAAGGGGCTGTCCAGTGCCGGTTCCGCCTTGGCTCACAGAGAGCCCACCTCCTGAAAGCGCCGCCTGGGCCTACGTGTGTGTGCCCCATAAAACCAGCGTCAGCGCCTTTCTCTCCGAACGCCGCGTAGGGGTTGTGTGGGGCAGGAGGCGGTGGTGTGGAACCGGGCCCTGCGCTAAAGGCGCGGTCCTGGAACGCGGACAGTGAGCAGGTTACTGCTGTCAGGGGCTTTTCAAACGTGAAACATCCCCTTTACCGCCTGATCCAAAGTCTGTTGTGGCTGATGGATGTTTGCACCTTAGCACCATCCCTTAATGGTATTTCTGCTGGACAATGCTCTATGTCTAGTCTTGCAGACTGGATAATCTGTGTCATTTCTGTACACATAAGTGGCTCTGTTAAAGCCACCAGCCAGATTTGGTTTCTGGTCGTTCCAGACTGATGCCAGGTGTACCCAGCAAAGTCAGGTTTGCTCCCGGGCATGTATGCTGCAACCTCACATTTCAAAACTCGTATCTGAGCCGCTCAGTCACATGTGTTTTCACTGCTCTTCTATCTGTGATTCTGTAATCAAGAGATACAGCTCTGATTCATCCCAACGAGGTAGTTGCAAAGGGAAATAATAATAACAAATCACAGCAAGCCATTAAAATGATTTATTTTTTTTTAGAGAGACCAAGTTGTTAATTTCAAAAACATGCTTTAAAAAGCTGGATCAGCATTGTTTGATATACTAAAGCAAAACAATGAGGGTAAGGATCTTAAAATGCAAAAAGGAAAAGGATGCAGAAGTCTCCAGTTATACATTTGGAAAGTATGTAGGACTCACTTGCATTAGAAAATACAGTATTTCTCTGCATGTGTCAGTTGTTTCCCATAGCAAAGGTTCAAAGCTGATAATGGTATTTCCTGCACAACTGTAAGATGCAGTGTCCAACATGCTTATAAATCAGTAATTAAATAAAAGTAAGCCAAAAAAGAAGAGGTAACAAACAATATAAAGTGTGTGTTCCAATACTGGCACATTCAAGTGATGGAAATCTCTGGGATCTCTCATTTCAGCTTATTTATACCTCCCATTTCATTGTTACGTTAGAAAACCACATGATTTTACTCTTAAAAGTCTTCTGTTTATTTGACAAAGCCAATTCAAAAAATATCTTGCTTTATATTTTCTTGCCCAGAACACTCTAAGCATTGGAATCGTCTGATAGTATGTTTTATATAACCTTGAAATAAACCTGTTCTGAAATTTCACTCAATGTATAAACGATCTATCAATAACTAAAACTGGTTTGATTTTATGAAGGGAAAAAGAAGTATTTGGCCTGTAGACTGAAACACTCCTATTTTTCCACTAGGGTGAGTTTGTCTAAATATTACAAATGGCGTTAGGCACTGCTGGCTGCAGTTTTCAAAAAATAGTTTGTGAGTACTAGTATTGGCTTTGTTGATAACTACAGGCACGTTACGAGATTGCAGTGCACTACAGGAAGGAGCAATTAGCTAGGTCACCAGTCCAGAAAAACACAGCTCCTGTATCAAGGACACCATCTGAAGGAATACCTGAGCTAAAATGAAACATACTCCTCTAGTCTACAGCTATTTTCTGCAGGGCATGAAACAGACCAACGCCCTTCTCAGCAAGAGCCCTGGCCCTGTAGATAGTGGGGGTTGGCTGTGATGGAGCTGCGTGGGGACTTCAGCGTCCCGTTGCCACATGAGGCATCCAGGTTACACTTCCGTGAGCTACTGCTGTCTGACCTTCTAAGTGTGATTCTGCTTTGGAGCAGGAGCAAAAACCACATCCTGACGGAAGCCAATGTCTACAGCTTGATCGCATTGTGTTGAAGCTGTTCTGTTTCACCTGTCAGTGCCAGGCTGGGAGAAAGGCAAAATGATGGGGCACTTTCAGGGGAAATTGTCAGATTTTACTACTCGAATTACCGTCAAAGACACCTCTTGGATATCTCATTTTCAGAAGGTGGGAAACTCTTCTGTCTGAACCACAGGAGAGCTTCTGCGCCAGGTGCTCCTCGCCTTGAACAGTGTTCGGTTTTCTGGTGGGGTCACAGTGTCATGTTGCAGGGGAGGGCTTTAATTACATATGAGCCCCTCCTGAGCTCTTCCCTGGCAGCCTGTCTGCTCTGTGCATCTCCCAGGAGTGAAGCAGAAATCAGGGCTGTACCCATCTCCTTGCTGGGTACATGTAAGGGGCTTTGGCAGGAGACAAGCCCACCCTTCTGACTCCCCACATTCTGGTGGGGAAGGTGTACATGCAGTTTCGAAAGCCTGCTTCAATTAATCAAGTATGATTAAACGTCAGGCTTCTTCCTGAATACCCTACACAATGCTAGGGTGTTTATGCTTTTGCATTTTTATTTTTTTTTTTAATTCATGAGGAAAGGTTGATTATGGCCAGCAGCCTTGCAGGTGGGAATCCTGAGTGGAATTACTGTGTGGTCTGAACTATCTTTGAGGATGGGGATGAAGACCTAGATCTCCTGAGCATTTTCTGCTGATAAAGTGGGGGCTACTGGCTGACTCCTGTGAGACCTCATGTCATGAGACAAGAAACCTGACCGAGTTCAGGGTGCGGTTACTACTACTCAGTAGGATACCTAGAAAAATGGCATTGCTGTTGAACCAGCTTGAAGCTCCTTTTGGGGAGAATGAAGCCCCTGTGACCCTAAGGATGGTCCATGTGCTCACCATGTTTTAGCATTGGAATTGTAGATGCTAGAGCCCTCATCAAAGGCCAAATTTCCACTCACTGCTGGGGAAAATAAGTGATGGTTTGTCTGTTGATGAAGCAGAGTGGATGTGTTGGGCATCTCTAGGGAAAGGGCCAAGCAGTGCGTTTCTAGCACAGTCCTGTGTAACAGTGGGTTCTCGGTCCTCTTCTCCACGTGCTCGCTAATTTTTTTTTTTTTAAAGTGATCAGCAGATCTGTTGTTTCTGTTTGATTGTCAGTTCCTCATCTCTTGTAGACCTGTGTTTTATACGCACTCACAGAACTAAACTAATTTCAGTAGGTTTTGATCTCCCCTTGTGCAGAGGGCAGGGAAACAAGTAGAAAATGGAGAATGCCATTTTAACAACCTACACAGTCATCTCTCCTGTGCACATCTTGGAAGAGTTTGGCAAAACTGACTGAAGTACTGGAAAAAGTGTTTTCCACCATCTTAAAATATGAGAAACTTGCAATATGTTTATTTACTGTACTGCATGCTTCCACAAAGAATTTTTCTCTCAAAAATGGAAATCTTTTGCTAATTTCTAAGCTAAGAGTTAAGAAAAAAAAAGTATAAGATTCTTTTTTGGTTGGTTGGTTTTGTTTTTAGATTGAGCTATACTGCTTTCAGAGCCCCGGTGCTGTTCTGAGACACGCTGGTGGTGCCCCCCCAGCTTCAGCAGGGTTGCTTCGTTTTGCCTGAGAACAATTTGATAACGATCTAGCCGTGCTCTCTCATTTTCTTCCTTGTGATGGAGGAACAGAACCATAACATTAGTCAGCAGTTTCTGAATTTTGACCCACAATAACAAAGATACCGAAAGACAGGAGAAATAGATGGAGGCAATTACAAACAGTCACTTGATTGATGGTTGACATTGTTAGAACTTCAGCTGTATGTCAGGTTGCGGTGGTGCTGAATCCCCATCCCTGCCAGTGGGTGTTGCCATGGGCAACAGCGCACTGAAGCCAATAAAAGGGAGAGGAAATGAGGGGAGACTCAACCTTGGGGGAAGCTGTAGGGTATGCACTATAAATTACGTTATACTTAGCAATATGCCATATCAAAATTCAGGAAAGCTGTGTATGTGCCTGCCAGCAGTGCTATGCCAGTTCCTTGTATCTCTTTCTCCCATCAAATACGTGTTTTAAGTTCTGTATGGCTTGCTGCTTACTATCCGGCATCTGTCTTTATTGAGGGAAGAAAGAAGTGGTAAAATAATAGCAGAAACATTCTATTTGGTGCATATATTCACTACTCTGCAGTCTGCATTTCTGCTCTTTCCCTGCTTCTTTCTGCTAGAGAAAGGGATGTGGTTCGGTTGCGTACTAAAGGATTGGCTTGCAATGGTACTGAAATTTCCAGCTATTTTCCTAGACACAGGATTAATGGCACAGAGGGGTTTTGTTTTGTTGTGAGTTTTGTTTTTGTTTTTTTTTTAAAGCGATCAGCAGATTTGTTGTTTCTGTTTGTCAGACATATGTAGTCAGCTTTTATACATCATTAATGACTCTCTTTCCTTAGAGAGCAGGAAAGCTCTTTTAGCATGTGGTCAGCCGGGCCAGGTTCTGATTTCCATTAAGTTGGTGCCAGTTCAAGGTAATTCCACTGAAGTAAATGGAGTTTGGCACAGGTGTAAAACTAAGCTGAACTCAGCTTTAGTTTCTACTGCCAGACAACCCTATATTTAGAATTCCATTTTTCATGGAGTACAAAGGCTTTTTTTTTTTTCCCCTATAAATGGGAATTGTAAGCCCTGCAACATGACTCCTCTTGTGTCAGGTCATGCAGCAGAGAAAGCACCCTCATATCATAGATCACAGTTTTGCTACACTAGTGATCTTTGCACTAATGGAAAGAGACCAGCTTTCAGGTAATACTAGTGTCATCACACAGAACTAGACACGTTTGGTTTTGTGACCTATCATGTTTGATTAGATTTTTATGAACACCTCTACCACAGACGTCTACATGAGAGCCTTGACTAGTGCTGTGCTAGCTGTAATAATAGCATCTCAAATTGTACTGAAAGAACTGCAAGAGAAGTAAGAGGTAGTCAGTCCAGTGTGATGATACTCTTCCTCTCCACCATTTCAAAATATTAATTTCAACTGGAAGTTATACTAGAAAGGCTTATCTATGGTTGACTTTTCAACGTAATATAAACCTGAAGCACAAGGCAGCAGATTTACTTTTTTATTTGTATTCTATTTTCATTAAAGCCTATTAATTTTTTCCTTAGGGGACACTGTGATGAAAAAAAAAAAGGTGTTAAAAGAGCGTTTTTTAGAGAAAAGAAAAAAAAACCCTCTAAAATTACCATGCAATATTTTACCTTTATGCAAACTTCCCCTTGCTAAGAAATTTACTGCACTGTTAGTATGAATTTCTCAGGGAAGCAGGGACAGGTTGGTGTTTTTAAAGATAATAAAGTTTGTTTTTAAATGTAGCAAAGGTAGGCAATTCTAAAGGCCCTGATCAATCACTAAGAAGCTTTGTTGTAAAAAAATACTTCTTTAGAATACAAAGCAGGCTTTTCAGAACATTCAGGCATAAAAGAGGAGGGAAGAGAGGAACATCACAAAAGCAGGCATAATTGATTCATAACGTGTACTGCAGAGATGCAAAACAACAATGTAATTACATACTATTCTGTTTTCCTGCAGCTCCTTGCATATGATTTGACCAGCTTGCATCCCAGTTTTGCTCTGTACTATTAATTTTATTAAGCTGTAAGTTCTTATATTTCAGTCTGTTGTCAGCTTTACAGATTTTTACAGCAGCAGTTGAAATGTAGTGGAGCTGAATGAATGCTTCTTGTGCTGTCTTCCGTGCCGCTCCAGATACCAGCACGGTCTCACTGCAGACTTTCCTTTCAGTCCCACTAAGCCTCCCAGTAAAAGAAAACTATGCTGTCAAGATAATATCCAATCAATTAAGCACGTCTGTGAAAGTATTTCTCAAAAAAACGGTGGGCCAAAGCTTATGAAAACCTTTCAGACAGCTCTTATCGAAAAGCGACACTGGCATTTGCAGGCTTAATTTATGTCTTTGAGGGACATGGTAAAGCTAGAGGAAAAGGAGGATGAGGATGCCGCCTGAGAAGGAAGTCTTTTTTGGTGCAGCTCCTCCCATTTACCTCTATTTACTGCCACAGAGTCCAGCATAGGCTTCAGTTTCACATTCAGCTTCACTAGACACTGGAAGAAGATTAAAAAAAAAAAAGTGGATGAGATAAAAAATATTGACAATATTTCCGCTCCTTTGATGGACAGTCCAGAGAGTAACAGAATAAAAACAGTTTAATCTGTACCAGGCCCTGCTCCCTCCTCACCCCCAGCTGTAAATTACTCTGTAGGTAAAGCTTATTGTTCCCATTGAGATATCTTCATCTTACTTGTTTTACCTGAGGCTTTACATAAGCCACCAAAAATGTCAAAAAAAAGCACGTAAGGTGGCAGACTTGCTGCTCAACTTCTTTAGCTTTCTTGTAATCATTAAAGGTAGTCCTTTTGAGTAAGCATCCCCCAAGTGCATGAGGCTGGTTGCTGGCAGCTGTGAGCAGGAGGTGCACTGGTTAGATGACCAGCTGGACAAAGCTGAAATAACCTTCCGACTCTCCCTAGTGCTACTTTCTTATTTCCCATAGATGAGTAAACCACAACAGTATTGTGCTTTCCAAAGCTGGCAAAAAAAACCCCCAAAACGTTTCTGTGTGCTCAAAATATAGAAATAAATGTCTTTTTAGATTGCACTGAAATCAGCTCTTTTCTGCATACCCAGTCCAAAGCGCACAGAAGCCAGCTAATCTTTTATCTGGTTTAACTGAAACCACTTTGAATCAGCCCCTAAATTATTTTATTCCTGCACACCTTTGCTAGAAGTTTATTTTACCTTCCCCTTTAAAGTATCAAATGCTTATGTGGAAAGACCACAAGTGCTTCACTTGGTTTTGTGCCTACATGAAAGAGAGACAGAACCTCATTAACAGGAGCACCCAGATGTGAAAAAAGGGTTAACCAGTTACCTCCCAAGCCATGCGATGTGCCCTTTCAGGACAGAGGAGTCTTATTCTTTTGCAGCTTTTTTAATTAGCAGTATGTTTTGCTGAGAGTTGGGTATCATGCTTTCTCTGATGGAAACTACATATTTGTCATTTGAAATCTTGTTGGTGCAAGATTAAAAAAAAATGACAGAGGAGACAGGAAAAGTTGTTCTAAAAGTGCAAAAAATTATAAGGAAAAGAAAGGGAGGGGGTAGCAGGTACCTTTGGAGATGATCATTTTCATTATTTGCTTTGAATAGCAGGGTTAACAGCAACCGTTTTAAATGGTCCCCAGAGCACAGACACCACTAAAGAACTGGATTTTTTTTATAGCTAGTCTGCAAGCCATGGGAGCTTGGTTAGCTACTGAAGTAAGTCTTGGTAGATTTTTAATTGAGCTATTATATGATAATTAAGGGTTAATGGCCTGGTTTTAAGATGTGCTGAAAACTTGCAATTTCAGTTGACTTCAGTAGAAAATATGAATGCTCAGCACTTCTGAAAAATCACGCCATGAGTAAGAAGCTGATTTGTGTGCAACTAGGAGCAAATCCACTTGAAATTATTTCCTTAGAATACGGCACAGATCGGGCAGATAATTTTGCAACCCTGGGCCTGGGGTCAGAGGCAGGGTTTACTGCAATCTCTGCCACATACAGTGCTGCTCGCTGGTGACAGTCATTCATTTGATAGAATTGGACGTGGCTTTGTAACATTCCCATCACCATGGCCTCAGAGCTCCCCAGTTTTAGATCTTTATTTCGGACCATTGTATATTCCTCAAACCTGATTAGGTGGGAGTCCAAAGCAGAGGGGCAGTAATACGTTATAAACACCTGAAGATACCTGAAAAGGTGGCTGCTGCTGTCATTAGCACCTGCATTACCACTGCCAGCTAAGTGTCTAGAGGTAGCACATTAGATATTCAACTTTTGACAGCAACTTACTAGATCCTTTCTGTGCAAAGCCAGTATCCATTCACTGGCAGTTAAGCTTGCTGGTATTTCTAAAATCTTGAAAAAGTTTTCATGAAGTATTTTTCTAGTATTTAGATTTTTTTAAAAATCAATGCTTAAAAAATCAGCGTATTTCAAACGTCTCTAAGCACAAAGACGGCATTCTGCACTCACACCCTGTCGGCCCCAGGATCTGTAGGCACAAAATGCAGTACGGGCTGTTCCTGTCACAAAAGCTATACCAGCAACCTATACCTGCTACAGGCAACGTAGAGGAGAAACAGCACCCTAGGACACTGGCCTCTGTCTCAGAGAGGCTGTGTAGCTCTCGGCTATGACTGTGTCCTTTCTGTGCTGTATGGTTTCCAAGACTAGACCACAAGACTGTGATGTTTGCAATCCTAGTGCCAGGGGACAAATGCAGAGGTCTGGGCATGAGCACCTACTGCTGTGCCCGTCCCTCCAGGCCTAGGCATATGCCAGGCTCTTACAGCAGGAGACAGCCCTCTCACGTAGAGTGCCAGGAGGACTCTCGGTGCTTGAGCGGCTTAGATCAATTAGCTTTGCATCAACTACAGCAGAGACCAGAAGCCCAAGTAGATTGGGAATGGATTCAAGAAGCACCCACGCAGTTCTACAGTAATCACTGCATCTTATGAGCTGTAAACACACTTTAAATCCAAAAGTAAATACATATATTTCTCAGAAATATATACCTAAGTGCATATTACAGAGTCTAATAACCCAGGTGCAACAGAGGTTACCAGGTAAATAATGAGAATGGTTAACTAATAACATTTAAGAAGGAATAAACCATGTCTTTGATATTTGTTTTTACCATAGCACAAACAATTAATTCTTTGGAATACTTAAAAATATATAGTGTAATTTTAAGAAACTTAATTTTGTTGCACATTAATTTAGATTAGGGATACTTGACAGTGCAGATTTTGTACTTGGTCCATAAAATGTCTTTATTCAGGCATTGATTTGATATTTAAACCACTGCTTCTGTATTTAGTATCCTTTCACTTTGGGAGTCTTTCATTCTGATTGAGTCTTTTAATTAAACCAACTACTATAATTCCTATGGAAATTAGCTCTTATTTTATTTTATCCACCTATCAAAGCATTTCAGTAGGACTTTTCTGATACAAAGTACACAAATTGGATTTTATTTCTGCTTGAGATGTAATTAAGAACTCATTTGATTACTATATATCTGGCCCTGTTTTAATTATTAAACTCTAGTAATCAATTTTCTTTTATGAAGCTTCTGGGAAATTATCTCAAAAGCAACACATTTCTCTCCCTTCTGGCAGGCTCTCGACCATTTACTGAATTACATTCATAGCACCTGTTCCTGATCCGGATTAAACCACCAATATATTCCCAAAGCTATTTAAATTTATTTGGCTGTAGTCTAGTCAGGGTTTTCTACCTCCTGGCTGCGCTTTTTACTTGCCATTTTATTGCATGAGAACTCCTTTGATGTACTGTTCCTCCACGCCACTATTTTTGATGCATGCCTCTTACGAACAGCTTTGCTACTGATCTGTCTAATTTGGTGTCCAGCTTCTTAACGCCCAATATATTATTTGCTTTAGTAGGAAGAGGCTTGGTTTTCAACAGCTTTCTGACATGGGATGCCACCACATGAACTCAGAGCTCCAGAAACACCCTTCTTCCCCGTCCCTCCTTGGCACAGGAGCATTAGGGGGAGAGGGAACCCCTGCCTGGGACCTCGGTGTCCCCGTGCTGTCCTTCCACTGCAATGCAGCTGCCCTGCTGCAGAGCAATAGGTACAGCATTGGTGACCTTTCCTGTTTTATTCCCTTTGCTGTAAAAGCTGTTCTTAATTGCAGAGTGATAAAGGGTCCTGAAGAGCTGCGTGCTCCGGCATTAGGAAAAGCCAGATAGGTTTGCAGTTCCTTGCTGCCGCCGTGCACACCTCAGATGGGTGACTAAGCTGTTTCTCAGAAAGCTACTGTATAGCACAGGCTTTTTCTTACCACCTCGATTATTTAGGTGTCTTTTGTGACTGTGGACTGCTCAGCCCACAGAATACCTTCGCAAGTATAGCTCCTTTTGCGTATAAGCTCCTCCAGTACAAGAAAAGGTTAAAAGCACTTCTGCAATCCAGTGTGTGCCCCTGGGAGAGGAGCAGGGCTGCCTGAAGGAAGAGATCAAAAGGGGGAGAGCATGAGATACTCAGAGGAAGCTACTTACAGAGGATACTTAGGGATAAGAAGGGGAGAATGTTTTTCTTGGGTATAGAAATTTGTTTCTCAGGTGTATTTTGCTAGATAAAGCACAAAAAATGCAGAAATAGTAGCAGTAGCAGCAAACCCCTTTAGGGAGAGGGTAATGGGTAGCAGTGGAGGCGTTTGTTGGTAGATCTACCTCCTGGATTGAAGGGTGGTGGGCCAGAGGACTTCACCTGCTACATCACCTTCATCTCTGATGTTATCTGAAAGGATGTTATCTGAAACAGCCAAGATACAGCACAGATGTGGCCAGAGTCTAAACTATTGCTAAAGCAAATACAACATTTTGTTGTATTCTAAGACTAATACCAAATCCTTTTAAAGAGGAGCACAGTATCCTCTGACTTACAAACACTGCAGGACCTCCAGAGGATATACTTTCCTTTTTTTTCCACCCCGGATATTCTCATCCAAATATTGACCAATTCTGACCTTGCTTAACTTATGAGCTTTGACAAGATTACAGCTCACGGAAGTATGGTTGCGGGTCTAATATTTGTAAAGCGAGTTTATGGAATAAGACCATATAAATTCATTTTTATGACTGATCACATATCAAAAAGTTATAGGTCTCAGTGTTCACTCTACTTTGGAACCCAGTGGTTTCTAATGAATCACTTTTATTATGTAGGCAGTTTCTGAGTTGGAAGGGAGGACTAGTGACCGAGAAGCCATGGGGATAAATTCAGACCTGGTGTAAGCATATGAAGCATTGCTGAAGTCAAGAGAGTCATGACCAGTTACAGCAAAGCTGAATTGGACTCCTGAGTTTTGCTGAAGTGGCTTTCACGTGAGAATACATAGGCCAAAGGTGAGCCATTTATCTGAAAGTCCTTGAACTTCAGATTAGTTCAAATAAAAGGGAAGCTGTACTGCAGTCATTCACAGGTTTGATCTTCATAATACAAATACTTGAGAGACATTGTTTTGAA